CACGCAGCTGACAGCAGGGTGTTCACCCGCACACTCAGGCAGTCACATGGGCACGTGGTACAAGAAACGTGTGTGATACGTAAACGCACAGAGCAATAAATATGCATATGGTATAGACACAGTAAGGGTGTATGGTACCTAACACACTAGACACGCATTCCAGGTACAACACAGGGGTGCGGGTGGAGACAGCACGCAGTACCGCAGACGGTCAGAGCAGACACAGTACAGTCCTGATGCATACTGTCAGGGGGTCCGTGGGGGCTCTCAGAGAGCAAGTGGGTAGAAAAGGTCTGTTATTCACTCTCCAGGGAAGAACGGGGCAGGCGGGGCAGGTGCAGAGTTGCATCAGCCCTGAAGGGGGAGTGCCCTAGAGACTTTGCAAGGCAAGGGGTTTAGAATGGGGTGATAAGGTGGCCCTGAGACAGCAGCCAGCGGTCTTCTACAACATCCGGGTTGCTTCCTTGTTCTCTCTGAGCGAGCCCGCCATCTGTGGGCTAGATTAAGCAGCCCCTCTTCTTCCCTCCTTTCAAGTGGAAATCTGCCTCTGATCCCAGGGGATTGCCCATTAGGGCACGTACCCTCGCACCAGACCCACTAGACCACCTTTAGGCCTTTCTCCAGCCCTGCCAGGGTATTTAAAGCTGCCAGGAGACCCCGCCTTCCTTCCAGGGGAGCCCAAAAGACAAATGTCCAAGAGCGGATCTATTAAAAAAAGAGAAGAGAAAGAAGAAAGAAAGGGAGGGAGGGAGGAAGGAAGGAAGGGAGAGTCTGAGGCAGGTGGGGAGCTTTGAATGTGCCGGTCCTATTAAAATGCCAGGGCGGGCAGGTGGTGTGGAGGTTAAGTGCTCTGAACTCCCCATGGTTTTTGTTTTCGTTTTTTTTTTGAAGAGGTTTTTGCTATAGGGCGCATTCAGTTGCCAGACAAAGAGAGACAGAAAGCGAGAAATCACCCACCCCCAGGGAGGATGGCCACACCTCAAGGTCCCGCCCCAATCCCTTCCCCTCCATTCCCTTCTACACGCCCTATAGCAAAAACCTCTTCAAAGAAAAAAAAAAAAAAGACTCCGTTGTGTTTAGGTGGAGACCAAACTACCATTAGGAGTGGTGAGCCTGCTTGTTTCCTTCTGTAAACTGCTTCTTTGTTTTGAGAGGTTTTTGCTATAGGGCGCCTACACTTGCCAGAAGGACAGAGAGAGACAGAGAGATAGAACGCGAGAAATCACCCCCCCAGGGGGGATGGCCATACAGCAATCCCTCTCCTCCATTCTCCTCCATTCTCCTCCATTCTCCTCTCGGGCGCGCGCATACACACACACACACACACACACACACACACACACACACGCCTCGTGTGAGTTTAAGCCACTGGGTTCGGGACTTGAACTGCGGTCAACTACGGTGGAGTCCAGTGACATAGCCGCCACGTCAACTGCTGGTCCCCAAACTGCTTGTGCACTGTGAGCCCCTGCCCCTGCCCTTTCGAGCCCACCGCTCTTGGTCCTTGTGATCTCAGTCGACCTGGAAAGGAGTGTGATTTTCGCCTTTATAGACACCCCTCACCTTTCAATCAGGGCCGGCCTATTAATAAAGACTCCATTTTCGGGCCGTCAGTTAGCGTAATGGCTATGTCGCTGGACTCCCATGTAGTGGACCACTGTTCGAGTCCCGGACCCGGTGGCATGAACTCACGCTGAGCACATATGCGTGCGTGCCCAAGATCCTGAGAGGAGAATGGAGGAGAAGGGATTGCGGCGTGGCCATCCCCCTGGGGGATGATTTCTCACTTTCTGTCTCTCTGTCTCTCTGTCTCTGTCTTTCTGGCAAGCAAGCACACGCGACCTATAGCAAAAAAACTCTCCAAAAAAAAAAAAAAAAGACTCCATTTTAATTGGTTATGCCTGGATGTTCTCTTGTTTCTCACTGATCAAACTATAACAGAATCCTGGACGTGTCAGCTTGCTTTCTCACTTTCTCTCTCTCTCTCTCTCTTGCTCTGTCCTTCTGTGGTCAAACTAAACGAAAGAAAGAAAGAAAGAGAGAGAGAGAGAAAGAAGAAAGAAAGAGGGAAGGGAGGAAGGAAGGAAGTTAAATAAAAGAATTCTTTAAAAAATAAACTTCTTCTGTTGTGGGGCTGGCAGGCGGCATGGTGGTTAAGGGACTCCCACACGGTCTGTCATAGGCAGGGTGAGTGTGGAGCTGCGTTGTGAAGTCCTTGGTGTTAGGCCAGACTTATGATCGGCGGTGGAGTCAGAGGCAGCAGACAGAAGAACCAGAGTCAGGCTTGGGATTTAGCAAAGCCAGTAAAATTTACTCTGTGAAAAGCTCTTGGGTGAAGTCCCGCAGTCTCAACACAGGCCAGGAGAGTCACACCCAGAGGATTGTTGCTCATTCTCTTTTGGGGCCCTTGTCCAATGAGCGGTTGCCACAGCAGTATGGCATCCTGTCCTGGCCAATGGGAGATGATGTTCCTGTTTGACTGGTGGCAGGTGCGCCAAATGTGGAGGACAGGCAAGTCCATTGGTGGCTGTGCCAGATTCGGAAGGTAGGAAAGTTTCCACCATGTTTCTCTTCCCTTCCCCGAGACCCTACACTTGGGCCTTTGGGTCCAGATCCCTAAAATTAGAGACCTGTCCCTAGGCACAAAATAAAGCCACATCACAATAAAAGTAGGTAGGAAAGAGAATTTAATAGGAAAGGAAGATTTAGAAAAGAAGTACATCCAGGGGCTAGCAAGTGGTGTGGTGGTTAAGGCAGCTGGACTCCCACATGGCTAACTGCAGTTCGAGTCCTGGACCTGGCAGCTTGCTTCCTCACGTTCCCTCTCTTACTCTGTCCCTCTCTGGTCAATTGAAATGAATGAATCAATGAAGCTTAATAAAATAATTATTTTTTCTTAGAATTATTTTATTGAACTTTATTTTATTTATTTTAATTTGACCAAAGAGAGAGGAAAAGTGAGAAAGCAAGCTGCTAGGTCCAGGATTCGAACCGCAGTCAACCACGTGGGAGTCCAGCACCCTTAACCACCATGCCACCTGCTGGCCCCAATGCCCTTTCATGTATAGTACATAAACGCATATGCCACACGATTCAACGGAGGTGAGCGGTAAATGCCCCGCACAGCAGAGCTGGGGCTGCAGAGGACGGCGCGGGGCTCCTGGGGCACAGAGGGAGTCTGGGAACGCGTGAACAGGATGCGGCCTTGTTGCTTAACAAGCTCCAGGCAAGGCAAGCGCAGAAGAAACAAAGGCCAGGAGGGGAACACGCTTGGAAAGTTCCAGAAGCAGCAAAGAAGCCAAGGGGTGGGGGAGAGTGGGGGAGGAGATCTGGGTAGCGGGCTGCACTGCCAGGGGCCCTCCCAGTGAGGAAGGAGGTCCATGCACACTCCCCATGGCGGCTGCTCCGTGCACGACAGGCAGACAGGCAGATAGGCAGAGGCCCGCGAGCCCTGGGCCCTGGGCCGAGGCCAGGGCGGTTTGGGATGGTTTAAGGCCAACAGGGCTCATTTATGGATTGGACGTGGATGTGGGTGACAGACGGGCAGGGTACACGAGGCTTTGTCTGAGCGGGGGACATGGCGGTCACCCGCGCGGGGGAGGCTGTGGGATGAGGTGTCGGGGATCGCATTGAATCTGAGTGTCCCTGGCTGAGCCGAGCGCTCGGGGCACAGACCTCTGGGTCAGGCTAGCGTGAGACCGGGGTCAAGACCAGCACGGAGCTAGGCCATCTGCAGAGATGGGACGCGAGGCTGGAGAGCCAGAGGGCGGGGACAGGAGAGGGATAAGGGTCGTCAACGCAGGAAGCGGCACGCCCAGAGGCCCTGCTGGTCCCGCTCAGACCCAGTTCGCACCTCCCCTCGCTCGAGTCCCTGCGAGTCCGATTCGGGACGGAACCACCAGGTCCATACGCCGGACTGACTCCGCCCGACCTGACCCGGGTAGTGCGGTGGGCGCGGCGCTGCGCGGAGTCGGGGTGTTGGACCAGCAGCCCCTAGGCTCCGCCCTGGAAGGGGCCCCGCCCACGGCCCTTGGGGGCGGGACCGCGGGGCCTTCCTGGTGACGCTGCAGCGGGCCTCTCCTTCCTCCCCGGCCTGCAGGGGACCCAGGGGGTGGCGGCGAGTGGGGTGGCCTGGCCCTCCGCAGCTCGCTCGCGCGCGCGTACCCAGACCTGGCCCCCATCGCCCTCCCTGAGGCTTCTTCGTTTGACCCCTGCTCCCAGCACTTCCCACTCACGGACCCGAATCCCTGACCCCGAGAAGGTGGGGTCAACGACTGGGTTGGGGTGGGGGGGGGGCGAGGGCCGAGAGTGCAGCGTGGAGAGCAGGCGGGGAGACCTGTCAAGGGTAGGACTGGGATCAGGGTGGGAATTGGAGGGACAAGTTTGGGGGCTCAGCTGGGTCCCGGGAGAACAACTGTAAGGGGGTGTTTCCCTCGGAGACTCAGGTGCCGGGCGCTGGGAAGTCAGGGCTTCTGGGGTGGCCCTGTCCCTGCTCTTCTGCAGGAGTGGGCATCAGCCAGGTTCTGAGGGTTGGGAGGGTCTGCAGGGGTGGCAGGAGGCAGGTGCAGCCAGACACCAGGCCCTGACCCCCTTCTCCAGGCCTCTGGCTGAGCGAGCCTTACCATGGAGGACACTGGCGAGGACCCCACCATATTCACTGCCCACTCTCTGCCCCGCGACCCCCGGTTCTTTGCCACCATGACGAATGCATATCTGGGCACACGCGTGTATTCTGACACGCTGCATGTGAGCGGCGTGTACAATGGAGCTGGGGCCCAGACACACCGGGCGGTGCTGCCCAGCCCCCTGGATGTCCGGCTGGAGGCCCCTGCAGGCACAGGAGAACAGCTGACCACGACGTTTGCCCTGGACACCAACACCGGTAGCTGCCCCCTGCCCTGCCTGCGCCACTGTTGCAGGCCAGTGGAGCCCCAATAGCACAGCCTGCTTGGGCACCTCCTACTACACAGGAAGTCTGGCAGGGAAGAGGAGGCACCGGGGCGTAGCTGCTTTCATTGCCCCTGTCTGGGTGGGCCTTCTGGGCTGGTGGGAGCTCGGGGAGCCTATGCAGCCGCAGCTTCTCAGTACAACTAAGGCTTGGAGGTGGGTAACCTCACTGGGGCAGAGGTGGCCAGAGGTCAGGGGCCCTTTGCTCTCAGACAGAGTGGCCATGTTGCTGTGTGGCCCGTGGCTCTGGGAGGCAGCAGCTCAGTAACCTTCCTCACGTGGCCTCTTCTCCTCCGCCCCCTCTCCAGGCTCCTTTCTGCACACCCTGGAGAGCCCCAGCTTCCGGGCCCGCCAGTGCATCTATGCCCACCGCACGCTGCCCCACGTCCTGGCTTGCAGTGTGTCCATCACCCGCATGGCCTCAGGGAGCTGGCCTATCACAGTGCTACTGCAGTCGGCCTTCTCTCCAGAGAGCCCAGATCTGGACCTGCATCTGGGTCCTGACTTCCAGGGAGCCCGGTAAGAGGGGGGCAAAGGGGCCAGCCAGTGGTACAGTGGTGAGGGCAGCCGGATCCCACATGGCCGACTGCGCAGTTCGAGCCTCAGACCTAGCAGCTTAAGAAACATGCCGGGTGCATGTGCTTGCATGCTCAAAACCCCAAGAGGAGAATGGAGAAGGAATTATGGAGTGACCATCCCCTCTAGGGGATGCTCTCTCACTCTCCCTCTCTCTCCCTGGTGAGTGCACACAGCCTATAGCAAAATAAAGAAGGAGGACTGGGGTCCCAGCTGGGTGGCCCAAGGAGGAAGGCCGTCCCTAAGGCTCGCCTGTGCTCTTGCAGGTACTTGTATGGCCACACGCTCACCCCTGAGCAGCCCAGCGGACGGCAGCAGGAAGTTCACATGCTGTGGACACCAGTGCCCCCAGCCCTGACCCTTGAGGAAGGCAAGGAGGACGAGACCTGGGACTTCCTGACCGTGGTGGGTGGCAGCCAGGCTGAGGCCCAGGCCTGCCTTGCCAAGGCCCTGGAGCTGCAGGCCAGGAATACCCTGTATGCGTGCCACGAACAGGCCTGGGCCCAGCTCTGGGCGGGCTGTGGCCTGGATGTTGCAGGGCCCGTGCCCCTGCGCCAGGCCCTGCGTGGCTCCCTCTACTATCTGCTCAGTGCCCTGCCGCAGCCCGGGACCCCAGGATACGTCTGCCACGGCCTCAGTCCCGGAGGCCTCTCCAATGGGAGTCATGAGGAATGCTACTGGGGCCACGTCTTCTGGGACCAGGTGCGACTGGCCACCCAGCACCGGCCACATGGTGGCACATGGGCACTGAAGGCCACTGCCTCTTCCCTCCCTGGGACTGGGACTGTGGTTGGGGAAGCACAAGGGGTGTGGCAGAAGGAAAGGCTTCCTGGAGGAAGTGACGTCTCAGCAGAAGGGTAGGCGGGAATTTGGTGGAGAGAGGAGAGCCAGGGGAGGGAACAGAGCTGAGAGGCACGTGGTGTGCAGCGGGGCAAGGGGCGGGGCCCTCATGGCCTAGGTCACAGGGCTCTGGAGAGAGCACAGCACAGAGCTTGGATTTACAAAGGGCCATGGGAGCCACGGGACTTTAGTTGGGGAGCAATATGGACAGAGGTGTCTTGGCAAGACCCGTGAGGCTGCTGAGAGAAGCCGGGTGGGGGAAGTGAGGACTGAGGAGTGAGGACTGGGAGCAGCTGAGGGGATGGCCCGGCGCAGCTTGGCCGCGGGGCGTGGAGGTGTCGAGGGTACCGATGTCGACAGGCTGCAGTCACCCTCCAGTGCCTTGTGAGGTCCGCGCCGTGGCCTACTTTTGGATGAGGCTGAGAGGCCGCATCATTCCCTGTAGGCTCCTGCCCTGGGAGGCCCTGCCCAGAGTCTGGCCTGAGCCCCCAGGCGCACCTGGATGCTAGTCACGTCTAGGCTGGACACAGGACCTGGTGGGTCGGTAGAGGGGGCCTGGGGCAGTTCCAGAAGCAGCAGAGGAGGAGCTAGAAGGCCGGGCAGAGGGGCCACAAGGGAGGCAGCAGTGAAGCTGCGGCCTCCAGAGCAGAACATGGCAGGAGGGGAGGGAGAAAGTGTGAGCGCCTGTCCAGCTCCAGAGCGGGGGATCCTGTGCTCGCAGGACCTCTGGATGTTCCCGAATATCCTGATGTTCCACCCAGAGGCCGCCAGGGCCATCCTGGAGTACCGCATCCGGACACTGGGCGGGGCCAGGGAGAATGCCCGGACTCTGGGCTACCAGGTGAGGGACCTGGGCACCCCCGTAGGGACCCTGCAGGCTTTCGGTCCCCACAGCCCCCCAGGCTCCCTCTCTGTCCTGCAGGTTGGGACGTCCTGGGTTCCCCACTCGAGGCTGGAGGGGCCTCCGCAGCATCCCAGAGCCTGCACCTGAGCAGAGGCTGGGACCCTGCTCTGGCTCAGGACCCTTGGGCTCCCTTCCCTGCCTTTCCCTGCCCCCAGAGTAAGCAGACAGTGAACAGTGGGCAGGAAGCACAGGGCCAGCAGTGGGGGCACGCAGAGGCGGCACCCCGGGCATCTGGGACGGCAGGTGCTTTGCCGCCTCTTCCTCACCCCTGCACAAGGGGTCAGCCCAACACAGGGTGAAGGCCGAGGGCACGTGGGGCTCGGGGGGCTTCTCCTGCCCCGCAGGGCAATGTCGGGTCTGACCCATCCCTCACTCAGGGAGCCAAGTTTGCTTGGGAGAGCGCAGGCTCCGGCCTGGAGGTCTGCCCTGAGGACATCTTCGGGGCCCAGGAGCTCCATGTCACCGGGGCAGTGGTGCTGGCCTTCGAGCTGTACCACCACACCACCCAGGTGAGTGACCTGTGCCCAGCCCTGGGGCAAGTGCCTGCCTGCACCAGCCCTGGAAGGCTGGAGAGGACAAGCTTGGGTGCTAGCGAAGGTGGACACTGGCCCGACACAGACTGGTGGGAGCTAGAGCCTCCGCCCGCCCCACCGCCTGCTCCCCCGGACCTGCAGCTCTTCCG